TTGTCGTTGATGCTGGCTGAGTGACGAAGATTTCCAGATTGATTGTTTCAGGTTGATGAATGTGTTTCTCGCCTGCCTTCCCGATTCTCGATCGATTTGACTTCCTCGTCCGTTCCTCCTATAGTAGATGAGACAATGCTCCCTAGATAAGTGAGTAAATGAAGTAACCTCTTTCAAATCCCTCCCGTTGATGGTGATTCGCGCTTGATTTTGCTACTGTTGTTTTTGTCGGTTCGTTATTTTCATAACCGCTATCTTGTCTATGTTCACCTGGAGTCCTGTTTTCGCCAGCTGTTTCTTCGACCATTTTGTTGGTTTTCGCTTGTAAGTCTTCGACTTTGTGTGACATGAAACATAAATCATCCACGCACGAAATCCAGGTCTTCTAGGTTCTTGACGTCGGTCCAGGATATCCCTGTCCCGTTTGTCGTTTCCCACTCACTGTCTGACGCATAATCCAGTCCACCACTATAAATAATATCATGGTTGATAACAGGCAGTCACCATTGGTTTACTTCTGTTGGGCTGTAATCACAACACAGGAATATGCCATGTCCTTCTTCAGTTTCACTGTTGATGATATTCAGCTAATAACTCTAGTCATTAGTAATTCTTCAACATGTACACGTGGTTGTAACATGTAAACTACTTATTCAAAGACATTATTCATATGCTCTGGACACTGTTTATATATGTTTATGTAATTCCTCTAGGTTTTTGATGTGGTTGCGTTTTCTGAGCTGGATATTTAATTCGCGAAGCTTCCATCGCCCCACTAGGCGACATCTTCAGCTCATACTTCAATTTGTAGTGAGCTTTTGGATTTCTTCCCGAGTTTATTAATCATCTCTCCTGGTGACCTTGGATGTGATTGGTTGTTTTTGTATGTTTTCACACCTTCCAGGCTACTTGTATTGGAATTGGTTGTTTCTTTGACTTGAACTGTGTATGAGATTTCCTTCCTATCGGTTGATAAATTTTGTCTATCTCGATGCTTCTATTGATTGATGATTCACTGGAATACTAGGCAACCTTCTAAAAATTCTCTGTCATTCTTGGTGTTTCCTGTCTAATATTTGAACGTTGGTTGTTCCAGTCGAATTGATGTCCGTGGTTGTCTGTATGCAGTGATAGGAGGGAGTGGAAATCTTGTCTTTTGACGGCTAGCTTATGATCGTGGATACGAAGACGAAGGGGACGTCCACTTTGACCAATGTAGTCTTTTTCGCAGTTGTTACAATTTATTTTGTAGATGATGTTGGTTTTTTATCTTCGTTCGTTGCTGAATCTTTTGGTTAACAAAAATTGAGTGAAGTGATTTTGTTGGTTTGTGTACGACGTCAATTCCTAAAGGTTTGAAGAGTCTTGTAGTGATTTCTGAGATATCCTTTATGTATGGTAAGGCGATTTTCTTTGTGCTTTCCATGGGGGCTTTTGCTTTGGTAGGTTGGCTTGGAGGTATATGTCTTTTGATGAAGTTCCGTAGATATCCACTCTTTTGGAAGACGTCCATGAGATATCTTTCTCCAGTTTTCCTTAAGATGGGAGTGCTGAAATGAGTCCTTGCTCTCTTGAATAGTGTTTGTTTGCAATTCCTTTTGTGTGTTATTGGATTGTTGCTGTTCCAATTCAGTACTTGGTCTGTGTGAGTTGATTTTCCATAGACTTGAGTTTCTAATTCCCTTCTGGTTTTTCGCTTAACTAAAACGTCTAAAAATATGATTTTGTTCTTGGATTCTTCTTCTTATGTGAATTCGATGTCGTTGAAGACGTTGTCTATTAAGTTGTGAGTCTTATCTAACTCGTTCCTTTTGATTATCACAAATTTGTCGCCAACCTAGCGTATCCAAATCTTATGTTTAATCTTTGGTAGAATTATGTTTTCGAGTCTTTGTATCACTGCTTTTGCATTCAAACCTGATATTGGTGATCCCATCGATGTTCCTTTGACTTGTTCATATATTTGGCCGTTGAATTGGAAGTATGTTGTTAAGCAGAGATTTATGCATTCCATTCAGCTTGTGCGTCGCATTTTCGACTTTTGTAGCAGGTGTTCGTCGTTGCTGAGTAATTGCTTCATGGTTTCTTCTGCTAGTTTTTACCGATAGAGGTATATAATGCTGTGACTTCGAAGCATACCATAGTAGGGCGATGAAAGCTTCGCAAGTTGTCCATCTAGCTCAGAGAACACAACCACATCAAAATCATCTACCTGAGCTACAAATCTTCTCCATCATCTAAATTCCATCTTAGTTCCATCTAAATTCCTCTAAATTCATTTGTTTGGTTTTCGGCCAGAATCACATCCTAAATACCAGTGATTTTGTAAAGCTGTTAAAAGCCTATCAAAAACAAAATATCATTTACAAGATGTTAATGTACTTTTCTTCGGTGAACATAATTAAAGCTTTACTGAAAACTTTTGAAATAGACGTTTATTAAATGTGTTCTCAAGGAATTATTTCGTGGATATTTGACTAATGGCAACTGACTGATTTTAAATCGATGATTTCAATATGTTGGAATTTTTATTTGTTTCTCACTCAAATAATTTTGAAGGGTAAAACTATGGGGGGGTGGGCAATAAAACTATGCCAACTTAATAATAATAATGATAATTTTTGCTTTATTCCAAAAACAGTACTAATGATACAGCAAGGAATTTTCAGCATTCAGTACAATGTTGCATCTAATTTACTTCCAAGGACAAAAATTAAACATTACACAATAATAATAATAATAAAACATTTTTATAGCAGCTATGTAGCAATTACAGTATGCTATATGGAGAAAAATATGTATAAAGTATAAAATTGTAGTGATAATAGTAATAACAACTAAAATAAAATATCCAAGTTACAATTAAACGATAAGAAGGGTGATACCATAAAATTACAGAAAGATGAACGGTGGATGGGTCGATTCACTTTGCTAATTACATAGTAACTTATATGTTTCACGTCTAACAGTGTCTTCACTACATAAAATATGGGCTAAATAGAGTATTGTAGAATTTCTGTACTTAGTGGTGCGAGCATATGACTTCTTATATTGACTTCTCATCCTACCTGATTAGATGCAAGGGGGTAGTTGTGAATAAAGGGGTGCAGGTGGTTTGAGAGTACGGCCTTTGCCCATTTTGTGTAGGATTTTATATGTCTCTCGACTATAATAATGGCGAGCTCACGCAGTGGCATACCAAAAGCCCTACTTACAGCATTTCATGCCCTTCGTAATTTGATATAGTCTTTTTTGAAGAGTCCAGGAAAGATTAATGGAGAGCAATAGAGTACAATAGGTGAAATACAGAAGTTTACAAATTGCAGAAGTACGGGTTGGTTGATACCTGATTGTCTTAACTTTTTAATGTAGAAGGTAAGACGAAACGTTTTCTTAGAGGTTGATAAGATGTAGCTCTCGAATCATTTCTAATGGTTGCTTTTCCAGATGGTTCGATAAATAAAGGTTCCATTACCCATCTCCACCCACACCCAGTTATATTCGATTTTAGGACTGTCAAGTCATTGCATCATACAGAGATAGAATGCACTGTCATGTCATGTGGTATTTGCTTCAGAACTTACGTTTTTCCAGCAAAAGATGACAGTCTTAAAATCTAACGAAATAGAGTGGTGAAAGAGACTGATAACCAAAGTTTCAACTATCGAATCAACTGAAAATACGCGGGATAGGAATGATTCAACACTTGTTCCAGACATCTGCTAAATTTTACTATCCTTATGATTATGAATAATAAATTGTGCTTGAAGTGTTATCTGTTAAGTTACGCTGTTTCATTATATGACGTATTCAATAAACAAATTAACATGGAATTACTTTACACCACAGTGCCAAAGTTTCATACATATCAAATCAAAATAAAACGTTTAAAATCAACCATTTCAAGATGTATTTGGCGACAAGAGAAAAAGTAGGGACGCGGGAAAATAAAAACGACATTGAAAAGAGTAGATTGTGAACAGACTGAAATATAACGATATATATATTGAAAACATCTGAGTAGGCATAAAACGTGAAAATATCCACCATTCAGATGTATTCTAAATCGTGTTAATCAAGACATTCCACTGGATCTTTCAAAGATACATTTTTTTTTCTTAAGTGAGACCTGAAATCATTTTTATTAAAGAGTCTAAATTTCAAATATACATTTTTATAAAGTTAAAGCGGTTAGATTATACCTTGCACAATGGATGATTTCACCTGAATCTATTATGAAACTTGAAACCTACCTTTAAGTGTCTCTTGAATTCGAAGCAATTTAACTTTTTTCTGCTGTGATTAAATAGGAATAATCCTTTACGCTACAAAACATATATATGTATGGTATCAAGTAATACTGGAAAAAAGATTGTAATTAATATTTCGATATATTCAAAATAGAGTAGCTTCATTTGATTTATCAGCTGATATCTGTTTCATATGTTCTAGCTATACCATCAACACGGTCTGATCACAGTCTGATCAAATACGAAATAATGAGCCATGGTTACCGATCACTACATACTTCACTGTCAGACGCTAAAGTATCCCCTCTTTTATCGAGCCAGCCTCTTCTTCCATTTTGTTGGTTTTTGCCTTTAAGTTTTCGAGTTTGTGCGACATTCAATATAAATTATCCAAGCGCAAAATCCAGATCTTCTACAGTCTACTTATCGGTGGTCCAGCGTACTAAATTAGTCGTCTAGATCCACCTAATTACAAACAACAACCTTTCTGGAAGAAAAAGAGTGCCTAAGAATGACATTTTTTATGTAATCATGCTGTTACGAAGTTGTTCATTACAATTTTCATTGGCCCTTCAAGATCGTTCATTATCATTAATTTGTAGACAAAGAAAACTGGAGATTCATAACCACTACGATAACATAAAAACTTAGTGCATGCATTAAAGACTATTGCCATGTTTTCTCGTCTTAATATGAATAGAAATCAAATATATGCGATACTTTCTATTATCCTTTATTTACTTACAATAGTCCTACAAAGGTCGCAGTATAGAAGATTCACCGATGATGAATAATAAACCTAAAGTAAAGCTAATTTATGCCAAGCCACCGAAACTTAGAAGGGATTTAATGGGGAATGAACCACGCCAAGAAGTTGTACCAGGTAAATAAAGACTTATTTCTTTTTTTTACTGGATTAGTTCATCATCTACAAACTGAATTTATTCATTTAAAAAACGCTTATAAATATCTCAAAATCCTTTTTGTCTGAAAGTCGAATTTTGTCGCTTTTTAAAACCCACATTATTACGGCAAAAGCTCCGAAATAACTTAGAATTGGTATAGATATATGTGTGTATATTTTACTGGAACTAGTCAACACATTTCATTTTGTTAATTTCTATGAATTGGCTGTGAGTGAGCGGTTAGATGAATAGCATATTTCTATGAGCTTTGGTTGTGTTAACACGACTGTACCACTTCTAGTCATGATTTCAAGGCTGGTTAAAGTTATTTTAGAAATAATCAAAGACAAGTGCTTATTATTATGTGCACGTTTTTCTACTATCTTCGCGTTTCTGCCAGATGCACATAGGAGCAACTTTTTTTATAAATATACTTTAGATAAAAATAATTATTGCACATATTTGGCATGGTTTTCATAACTTTTTTGTTTGTCTCGCGGGCTCTTTTTTTGATATATCATAAGTTATAAGAGAATATTTTAGACGGTAAAATATTTTCTGCAGCTAAATAAGCTTAAGTATGAAGTGATTCTGTTTTTATTTGTTTCAGAAATCAATCAGGTTCTCATAAGCATAAGACTAACTAATTCAAAATGGCGAATATCTGGAAAACAGTCTGATAAGTGAGGAAAAAAATCATTTTTTATACCAACTTCTTGAATAAAAGTAAACACAACTGAAACTGAAAGAGAGTCAAATTAAGATCAGTATCATAACCAGGAGGGTGCTTATTACCACCAATGATATTCCTAATTGTGGTGGGCTGACTGGATTATGCGTCAGACAGTGGGAAACAAGAAGACAGGGATATCCTGCACCGATGTGAAGAACCTAGAAGACCTGGATTTCGTGCGTGGATGATTTATGTTTCATGTCACACAAAGTCGAAGACTTATAAGCGAAAACCGACAAACTGGTCGAAGAAGCAATAAAGACAGGACTCCAGGTGAACATAGACAAGATAGCGGTTATGAAAATAACCAACCAACAAATACAACAACAGCACAGGAAACATCTAGCGCCAGTCACCATCAACGGGAGGGATTTGAAAGAGGTTACTTCATTCACTCACTTATCTAGGGAGCATTGTCTTAACTACAGGCTGTCGGAACGGACGAAGATGTTAAATCGAGCGAGAAATACATTCATAAACCTGAAACCAATCTGGAAATCTTCGTCAATCAACAACAAAATTCTATCGGATTTTCAATACAAACGTCAAGTCAGTCAGTTCTTCTATACGGATCAGAACCTTGGCGGGCGGGTCACAAATAATATTTCCAACAGCCTGTTGCAGACCTTTATCAACCGACAACTGTTTTCGCTCTATACTGAAGATCAGGTGGCCGCGCCGTAAAGAATCAGCAACAAGAAACTATGGGAACAAACGAAACAAGAACAAACCAATCGCTCAACAAATATGCAATTGGTGAAAGTGGAGATGGATTGGACACTCGTTGAGGAGGCCTGTTGTGACACCGCACGTCAGGCCATTGCTCGAGTGGAACCTGAAAGAGAAGTGGTGAGTGGGACGTCCACGGGTGATATGGAGAAGATCATGTGAAGAGGAACTGAAACAGTTTGGACTAATATGGATGCAGGTGAAAAGTACAGCAGAAGGAAGACAGAAGTGGCAAGTGAAAACGTGCAGTTGAAGCCCTATGTTCCACTAGGAACCCAAGGGAACAATAAAAAATAATAATAATCATAACCAGGAAGAAAACGCAACAGAAGGGAGAAGAAAAAATTAGGTGAATTAGTTTCATTGACAGAACAGACTTCTTCTTTATGCAGAGTTAAGGATTTAACATGTGAATCGTCATTTCGTTACCGATTTGATTACCGGGCTCACTCGTGTTCAGAGTTGATTAAATGTTCCAAAATAAAAACTGTGAGGGTAAGTATTCAAAGACATGAATGGATTGAAGACTCTGAGTCCGACCGACATACCTAACTCCGCAGGAGCAGAGGAACTAGTAGATACACTTTGATGAAGCCAGCAGCAGTAGCTCATCCTTCACGCTCACACCAATCAATGATTTTGTAGAAAATGTAAGTGGAAAATCGGCCACGAAGAATGCTTTCTTCAATGACCAGGACAGGCAGTTTCTCAGTATTTCTGCTAAGGGGTTTCCATTGAACTTTAGATTCAGATGGAGATTTTCTTTAGAAACAGTAAATGTATGCGGTTGTAAAAGTACAGGCCTGATAAAATGTTCAATGTGATATTCAGAGTAGCCACTTTCAATTAAAATCTTCTTAAGAATACTCATCTCATTCTTAACAGTGTTAGGACTACAAATTTTGCGGATTCTGCGGCTCATTAAGTGGACTAGTTTCCGTTTTGTATATAAAGGCACCTAATTATGGAAGTTTGTTGGCTTTCAGTGGCTGGATCCTTTCAGCGTGCCACCTTGTTAATATCTTGCCGCTTGGATATCTAGGAAAGGTTACTTTGGATTCAATTCCTTCTGTAATGTGAACTAGATTACAGGGTGGGAGGGTGGCTGGTTGCTTACAGATTTCTTCGTGTCAAAATTCGAAAACACATACATATGGAAAATCATTGATACCATTTGGATTTTACAAGACACGTGGAGGATACTTTGATTATCTATAATAATAATAATGAAGAGAATTTAAAAGACACTTTGGATCTTATTCAACAGCTGTCACCATACAATTTAGCTGATATTAGAGAAGAAGTCCTAATAGTGAACATATGTAACTGCAGACTAAGTTTATCGGCTGAATTAATGAATGTCTATAAAGGCGTAAATATGTGCATTTTATCTTTGCGCTGATAAAAAACTAACCCCAATACCATGATTAACAGACAACAGAAAACTGATGCTTTAAAAGAAACCCTTTTCGAAAAACTGCTAAATTGCTCGTAGAATTAAGACAAAATATAGCTCAAATAATAGGTACACATAATAAAAGTATTGATTCAACGATAACCCTGTACTCACCTCTGTGGTATTTAAACTGAGACTGAGAAGATTACTATGGCTCCTCCCTAAGGATGACATGAAAAACCATGTGATATTCCGACTTTTGGTGTCGATGGTTCAGTGTGGCATGCTAGTCAACTACACCTGTGGTCTAGGTTCGACTCCCGGCCGACGCATTCCTAAACCTAGCTAAACCGGTAGTATCCGTCGTGAAGAAGGAACATTCTGTAAGAGGTCAGCCGCCCTGCCTATAAGGGGACAACATCACCGCTACATAAACTTCAAAGCTCAAGTTTGAAGTACAGTATTCCACTCAGAATGAAAACAAATTAAATAAATAAGGACCGAAAATTGGTCTTAAGATCTCACATATCATCAAGAGGTATTCGGCTACATTTTGAAATTTCCTTTGACTGAATGGCACTTTGTCACTTCTTGATGTTAAAGGAAAACTTTTTATAAGTAATTTCCAAGAATATTTCGTATTCTCTATTCATTCTTCATATCAAAATAGTAAAGGTAGAAATAGTAATTGATTGCAGTTTCAGGCTTTCATTTCCTTAAAATACAGAGTACATTTAACCTTCATAATATCCCAAGTTTTCCAATGCTTCTCTTATTGATGTCATCTCGTGGTCACAACTGAAACAAATCGAACCATTAAAAATTAACTCCTAGAAATTAATCTGATGCCCACTAGTAACTGTCTGTAGGACAAATTTGCTGGAGTTCTTGTGAGAAATTGTGACCAGTGGGGTCTACCCTGTCGGATGTGAGGACAAATACTCATCGGTGACTCATCGATGTCTGGTGGTCGCGCTAAAACCATGAATTGGTAGCACCAGGAGTTTGTAGGACACTGGATCGGGTCTAGTGGCTGAACAGTTTACGAAATTACTCTGTCGCTGGAAGCTCTGAGCTTCAAACTCCGGAGGCTCCATACCCGTGAAAAGTCCGAAATGGGGACAGAACAGTTATCTAGTACTCTTAGGTTTTTCGACGGTTGTCTAACTAATGCTGGCTTATGATCAAACTTACTATTACACAGTTTCCAGAGAAATAATAAGAGCTTACAGTTAACTAGGATTCAGTTAATAAATGCCTTGTTCCAATTTAATTTAACTCTGATATTTTATCTAAATTCTACATTTTAGTGACAAAAATGAACACTGCACCAGCTTATCAATCTGTACCAAAGGATAATAACAGTTTTATATCGAAAAAGGTTGACCTCAGTGATACGCCTGAACAAAAATACACAACTGTTTCTAATCAATTCGGTACACTAAATGATTCATTGGAGCGTGTTATACTTCGTTTGTTCGACTCAGCTGTAGTACCAGGCGGTGCATTACGCGGTGTTGTTTACATAACTGCAAAGAATCCACTTCAGTTGCACACATTAGCAGTTACAGCAGAAATGATAACTAAGACTGTGTCTGCAGATGAAAAACAAGATATGGAGGTAAAAAAATATTATGATTAAATTCTTTGTTTCATGACATATAATGAACATTTATTTGTTCAATATCCCTATGAAATGAAGAGTATTGGAATAAAAAAGGATTGTGAACAGACGTCTTATTCCCTCTTATGAGTTGTAGATTTATTAATTTTAAATGAATAGCCAACTAGAAGAACTGTATTCGTACAATGCATACTTCTTGATGTTAGGGCTAGTTTCGCATATGCCAGTTTAGGCCATCTCTGGTGTATACGTGATATCCGGCTATCGACCAAAGGGCGGGTTTACTGTTCAGAAGTCAGCTCGTCCCCAATTATGGCTGTGAGACATGACCATTGAGAGTGGAAGACATGAAAATGCTGGCTAGCTGTATTTGATCATAGGTGCCTGCGCTCTATTTCCCGTGTGAAGTGGTATAATAAGATGAGCAATATTGAGGTTAGCCGTCGAGTGCTAAGTAAGGAGGGGAAATCAATTGAGGAGGCTGTGAAGCTACATCGACTGAGATGGTTGGGACATGTGTTACGTATGCCAGCCTAGTAATCGCCTTCCTCCACCTACGAGCAATGTTAGCTGACATAGGGTCAGGCTGGAAAAGAGCCAGTAGTGGTTAAAAAAACATGGATTCTCCAGTCAATGAAATCTACAACAGTTAGTCTAAGCCACGTAGGAAGGTGTAGAATTTCGGGTTGGGGTCCTCGGGACGGTAAAAACCGATGGAGGCTGGGGACAATTGGCGATATGGCTCAAAATCGTTCTCAATGACTGGCGCAGATGCACCCACCCTTGTGACATATGATTTCCAATGAAACTATATTGTTCTTCGTTATTATTATTCCTTTTGTCTCATATTCTTGTTTACTGTCTCTGTCACGCATTTCTTCTAGTTTCTTTTCTAACTTGTGTGCTACATATAGTGTGGAGACTTGAACTGCCATACATCGGTGCAAAGTTTTGTGTCGAAAACAGACAGACTTGGTGTTATATACTACTGAATGGTTGACTCGGGTATCATTCGCACCAACCCGTAGTATTTGCTAGTGAGATCAAAGTGATTTAAACACTGGGTGTCCATTCCGTCCATTTGAGACCAAGGGCATAAACAGAGTCTGCCAGGAGAGCGGAATCAATTCAAACCACACAAATTCCAGCTGTCTACTTAGGCGACCTGCTAATATAATGTATCATATTCACAATTAAAAAAGGTAACGTTTCAACTGTGAAAACCGCAGATCACTAATTAATTTGGAATAAATTAATTTTCCTGATTGCGGTAGACAGGATAATGCGTCAGACAGTGGCGGGCAGCAAGGAAACAGGCATAAAATGGATCCAAACAAAATACTTGGAGGATCTGGATTTTGCCGATGATATATGTCTGATTTTCCACAAACTGGAAGATATGCAAGTGAAAAGCAACAAGTTGGTGACAGAAGAAGCATCCAGAGAAGATAGGACTTCAGGTGAACATAGAGAAGACAGAGGTGATACAGATTCATGACAACAATCAGCATAAATAGAAGAAATCCTAAAGAATCAACCTTCTTTACCTACCTACCTACCTGGGAAGCATCGTCGTTTCAACTACAGGGGGAACTGACGAGGATATCAGAGCGAGGATAGGGAAGGTAAAACAAGATTTCATTTCTCTAAAGCCTGCGTGGGGGTCAACAGCACTCAGAATGAGAAATGAGATCCGGATTTTCAACTCCAGTGTGAAGTCAGTGCTAATCACTATACGAATTAGAGACTTGGCGCCACACTGCGTCACGAAAGGCACTTCGAACAAACTACAGACCTTTATCAACAGTTGTCTTTCCTTAATACTATTCAAGATCAGATGACCAGAGAAGGTCAGCAACAGGGATCTCTGGCAATGAACCAACCAACTCAGTAGGAACCAATCGTGTAACAAATATTCTGGAAGAAATGGAGGTTTATTGGCCATACTCTGAGAAAACAAACCATCAAGGGATTAACATCACACTCCAGGTCATCGCTAGAGTGGGACCCGAATGGGAAACGGAGAGTTGGTCGTTAGTGCGAGGGTGACATCAAGTAGGAGGAGATGAAACCAGATATGGAGCCAGGTGAAAACGTTGGCACAGAACCGAACGCAATAGTGACACGCAGCTGAATCCTTATGTTCCTCTAGGAATTTAAAGAAACAATAATAATACAAATGATAATAAATTTTCAAGTCATGAATTTAACCCAGTATACAATCTCCTGTAATGCTAAGTATCTTAAAGTACTGACCATATTTTAATGTATTTAAACGAACCTACTCAGAAATGGTCAACAGTAGACAAGAATGAGGTGAATCATTCTGTAAACTACATCTAAAGTATTGAATGACAAATTATGTGAGTATGGGAAAGAGTAACCAACTGTACAAAGTTAAAGTATTTTCATCGGATTATTTGATGATCTATTTTTAACTAGATATTTAAATAATTAATTATTCTTTAATTAATTTATTTCAGAAACGTATACCGATATCATTTACTGTACTATCTGATGATAAAACAGTTGGTAGAAGGAGACCTCTACGTAAATTCACTTATCAACAACCTGAATTTATGCAATCACCAATTAAAGAGGCGAATTTCAGTGATCCATGCTTTTCACCGTTTATAGGACCAGTTATGCTTGAACCAGGTGATCATGCTATCCCGTTTGCATTCCCACTTGATAGTGATGCACATCCATCAATACTATTGAGAGGTAAAGTTGGCATGTCAGGTGAAGCAGAAATTGTACACAGGTAAGATTAAACTTTATCTGTCACCTTACATAATCTTAATTTGATCAATAATTTTATATATCATAGAATGTAAATTTGAATCGTATCGATCAAAAGTAGTCTATTGCATACAATGTACTCCATTATACAATGAAACTTTAATAACAATTACTATTTATATTGAATGATAACTGGTCTATATGGAACCGACAGGAGACTGAAGATTTCTGTCCTGTGGTTGTCATAATCTTGACCGTGCACTAAGCTGTGTTTTCATACTATACTGAAGGTCGTATGAAATAATATTCCGGTGTATTTTACTGTTACCAGTTCTATAAGGGGTATTAATACATAACAAGAAGGCGATGACGTCGATGGCGTCGACAGGCGCGGACAGGAAGGCCATGGCAATGTTAGCTGACATAGGGTCAGGCTGGAAAAGAGCCAGTAGTGGTTAAAAAAACATGGATTCTCCAGTCAATGAAATCTACAACAGTTAGTCTAAGCCACGTAGGAAGGTGTAGAATTTCGGGTTGGGGTCCTCGGGACGGTAAAAACCGATGGAGGCTGGGGACAATTGGCGATATGGCTCAAAATCGTTCTCAATGACTGGCGCAGATGCACCCACCCCTTGTGACATATGATTTCCAATGAAACTATATTGTTCTTCGTTACTACTCCTCCTTTGTCTCACACCTCTGTTAACTGTCTCTATTAAGCATTCCTTCTACCTTCTTCTCTTGCTTTGTGTGCTTTGTGTGCTTCGTGTGTGTGTGGAGTGTGGCGACTCGAACTGTCGCACATCGGTGCATAGTTCCATGTTGAAAACAGACATAATGATAAATAATAAAAATAACTTAAGATTGAGAAACACACAAGTATGAGGTATGTGATGGCAAGTAATAGACCTTTATGTCTACAATGCATTTTCCATTTTTACACCACGCAGTATTTAAATATTTCGCTACAAAATGCAGTCTAAATGCTTTTCAACAACTCTGCATTGTTAAAAATAGGAATGATTCTTTTCTCACCTGGTATTCCAAGAACTCCAGTTTACTTTATCATTGTTTCTCAGTTATTTTTATTACTTTGGAAAGTGACGTATTTTTAGGTTAGGTATAAAAATGAAGAGTGATTTTCTAATCAAAGTTGTTATCTAAATACTTGTATTTGTTCACCGAATGGGGATTTCATGCATTTATTACTCTTAATGAATTTGAATAAAGCAAGAACAACAATGGTTTGTGCAGAATAATATGGTACCATCATCTGTTTCGATGGCTTCTCATCAGCTCCTTACTGCCTGAATAAATTATGAGGCTTATATACAGAAAAGTTTTAAAATACTTGCAAGTTTTTTTGTGATCAGATTTAACAGAAAGTTTTGCAATTAGTGAACAGTGCTCAGAAAATTACACTTACATACCTTTTATACAGCAGTTCAAGTTTAAACAAAATAAATGTGTGCATACAATGGTAAAGGAGTTTCATAATAAAGATGAGAGATGCATGAGATGCTGAGTGACTAATAAATTAGGTAATGATGTACTGAGTTCAATTCAAATCACAGAAACACGAGACAAGCAAAATTACGGATTATAAAAGGAGGGTGAGGCTAAAGACAAAGAATACGTAATCAGATGAGAGAATAAAGACATCCAGTTACCAGGGCAAGGAAACACTAGTAAATGCTTCTTTCTGAACACATGTATCTGGTTTCAAGCGTTTGATAGAGTTTGCTTTGGCAAACTTGAAGAGAATGGAGCTCCTTTGAAGGATTTATCGATTTCCATCTCATGACCTGTATCGAGGAGATGTCTGGTAATAGCGCTATCATAAGAGTTTATTCCCTTGAGACGTAGGCTGTTTGGGCACATGTTCAGAAAATCGGAGGTGTGCTCTTCTATCTGTTTCCCCAATGTAACTGCTCCCGCAGATACAGTTGGAGTTAACATGAGAAGGGCATCTATTGGCTTTTGACTGCACAAAAGGGCATGTTGTTTGGTGGACAGGAACCAACTTAGCTGCAGGATAAGTTCTGGCTAGTAACGTTCTCAGTCTTCTGTTGACCATTTCTGCAATGTCTTCACCTTTAAAATCTAGTTGAATGAAGACAGGCTTTTTTCAAGTGTGATTTGTTTGGTATTTGAGCCTTCACATCTTCCATATTTGTTAATAAATATTTGAGGATAACCGCTGTTTTTCAGCACCATTTCGAGAATCGTAAATTCTTCCTCTAGTTTCTCTGCAGAGGATACTTTCCTCGCTCTGTAGTAAAGAGTCTTTCTGTCAACTGATATCATCAAAAAGTACTTGCAAGTATGTTAAAACATTTCTGTACATAAAACTCATAATTTATTTAGGCTGTAAGCAGCAGCTGATGAGAAGCCAACGAAATACACGCAGGATGGTACCATATTATTCTTACTTTATTCAATAGAGGATTTGACAGCTCAATATGCCTGATATACAAAACATGATGGCTATTGTCGTTCAGCTTCTCTCTACCTGAACAAGTCAGTTCATCTTACCGATACATATATATGGTCATAAATCCTGTCATGTAATTCGGATAAAAAGATCTTCAGTAGATTCTCAGTCGATTCGGGTTGTCTGATACACTCATCTGGAGGATATTAGAGTTTACCAATAGAATGTAAACTTAAATTTCCTGTATCCATGCGGGAAAAAAGAGCGTATCAGAATGCAAAGCATAAAGAAATGTTTTCGTAACTATCACCTACATAAATTACTCTTTAAGAACTCTGGAAATTTGATAATTTCCGCTAACTTTATATAGAACAAAGTATATATCATTACTGTAACACAGAGGCCCATTTGTGTATTCATTTTTTTGCGGTAAAAACACTACATACTTCTAGGTATACCTGTAGTACACTCCTCTTAAGTTAAAGAATGAGTAAAGAAAAATATTGATAATAATAATACGAGAAATGTCCCATGATACATACTCGTGTTACTGTATATAAAACGTAAATGTGTTATCATCTGGTCCTAATTTGTAAAGTAGAAGTGTCATTTGAAAATCTCTCTTCATTTGGGCACGAGTTCTAACACAACCACCTAAATATAAGCTAGAATGCTCCTAAATGGATATCACAGCTGACTCGTTAAAATAAAGTGAGAATCAATGAGCACAAGAATGGTTTATCTAAGACTTCAGCTCAAAGGACATAAATACAATGACAAATTAATTAACCAGCTATACATACCTGTTGGAGCATGTTTTAATCAACAAGATGGAAAATGAGTTTCTCAAACAAATTTACACACGTCTAACTTATTTTTAGGATTTAATAATGTGAAATGTTCTCAAATCATGAATTAAAATTGAATGTGAACGAAGAATATTCTTTTCAGTAATTTCTCTTCGGGTTCCTATAATTATAAAATATAAACAAAGCAAGAACTACAGTTTTAGCAGAATAAAATGGTACCATCTTTTATTTCGTTGCCTTCTCGTCAGCTGCTTACATGGCAAAGACATTATTAAATATATCTACAACAACAATTTTAACATACTTGCACAGAGTTCAGTTTAAACAAAAATCAATCGATCAATATACGCATACACTAAAAATATATACATATATAAATATGCAATATTAACCACTATTCCGAACAATAATAATCAAACTCAATGGAAACTTTTAGCATTTCACATTCGGAGGAAAGAGAGGTGAAATTATCCAGTTACCAGGGCAAAGAAAGACTGATAACCGCTTCTTTCTGGACGCATAAATCAGGTTTCATGCGCTTGATGGAAATGGCTTCAGCAAACTTAAGGAGTTTCCATTGTGTTTGATTATTATTGTTCGGAATAGTGGTTAATATTGCATATTTATATATGTATATATTTTTAGTGTATGCGTATATTGATCGATTGATTTTTGTTTAAACTGAACTCTATGCAAGTATGTTAAAATTGTTGTTGTAGATATATTTAATAATGTCTTTGCCATGTAAGCAGCTGACGAGAAGGCAACGAAATAAAAGATGGTACCATTTTATTCTGCTAAAACTGTAGTTCTTGCTTTGTTCAAATTCATTAAGCGGAATAATTGTATAAAATATAATATTTGTTGTCGTTACAATAATGGCCAGTTATGCTGTGGACACATCTTTTATATAACCAATCTGTGATTGCACTTAAAATATGTATCCGCCGCATAACTGGCCATTATTGTAACGGCAACAAATATTATATTTTATAATTGTATGAACCCGGAGAGAAATTATAATAAAGGTTTTTGCATTTCCCAATGAATGAAAAACAAAACGATATTGTTTTTACTGACGTTTCGCTATTTAATGCTAATAGCTTTATCAAAGTATTATTAAACCGGAATTTTCAAAATCTCAGCATACCTATATATAACAAAGAGTTAAGGGGTGAGAAAATAGACTTAGGTGAAGTTAAAAGGACATACCGAAATTTAAAACAATTAGCTCCCTTTCTGAATTTAAATAAAGCAATAAGAAGACGTAATTTGTCTCAATCGTGTTATGAATTTGCGCTACACATTTCGAACAATCTGATCACACACAGACTTGTCACAGGAATATATATGAAATTAATAAAGAGTCAAAATAACAATGAAGATCACTAAAGCAAATAAGAAAGGTAATAGTACGTCTGTTATGATATTAAAACAAAGGTTACTAACTTGATCATCGTTCATCAGTCTGCGGTCATTTTTTGTTGTCAATTGGTTGGTCCACTGGTAGAGATAACAAAACCAAGTGTAGATTGTTGGATTTGATCAGTGTGTAAAAATTATAAAAGCAGTGCATGTTTACAAAGTGAACTTGCATATCACATTCGTGTTGATTTTGTCACTTCATGGAGGCGGGAGGTGTTGTAACCAGGTCAAATTCCGTTTAAGTCCATCATTTCTATTCAGGCAATTCGCATTCCACTTGATATGAAGAGTTTCTGATATCAGATGTTCTTTGTGATTTTTGAAGTTTTTCTGGATTATTTCAATATTGTCAAAATCAATTTTTTGACCTGATTCTATAGCGTGTAGACCTGTGGCTGATGATTTTTCAATTTTTTCTAGTTTAACCGGATTTCTCGGTGGCCAAATAGATGCTCTACGGTGTTCATTTCTTCTGATTTTGATTTCTCGAGTTGTCTGTCCGATGTATATCGCATCAAATTCTAAGCATTTTATTTTATAGACACAATTAGATAGAGAATCTTTAGGGATTTGGTCTTTTATATGGACAAGGTTGCTGAAAAGAATATTCTTCGTTCAGATTGACCTGTAAGCTTAGGAGAAAGTTAAGCTAACCATGCGCAAATAGCTTAAATACTTACAATACCGTTAACATAAAACAAGGAATATGATTGACAAATTACCAAGTGGTTTCATTCTGTGTAAATCACTCTATAGGAGGAACCCGAACAGAACACCGTTCAGATAAATTACGTTCTGTTCTGTCGAAACTCATATTAGAGGGAACTAACTGTTTCAAAAGCAATCAAAAGGTGCATGAAGAAATGTCTCAAGAATCCAGTTACTTTCATTTTAGAGTACGTATGATTCGTTATCTTTAGATTCAGCAGGTATACAAAACCTAACCTTCTAAGCTAAGAGGAATTCGATACATTACAACCAGAAAAATTCTGTGATAAAATAATACATATTAGGTGAAAACCTACTTTTTTATCAACGTTTGTGTTTAACTACTCAAATCACTTAACAGTAGCTATGTTAGTTTCCACTAAATAACAACTGGTTAATTGGCAAGTTACCCGACAGCAACATGGAATTAAAGAATAAACGTCAGGGAGTTAAAACTATTGCACAGTTCTCTTACACCTTGCATATCAATCACATGATCACGCATACCATCAGCTGTTTGTTATTTTTTTTTCAAATCTATCTCTTTACCAATACTCTCCTACTCCAGGTACTTTATTTACGCAACTATGAGGCTGAACCGTGCAAATGAAGACAATCCACTGACAATTAGTTCTAACGGTTTAAATTTCAAGGTGCTTAGTTGTGGTCCTCTTGATCACCAGTTATCTAATGGTGATCGTGTACCAGCAATTATGCAAACATTTACTATGGAAAATAGACAAATGTTGATACAAGTAGGTTTTTAAATATGTATCCTTCATTTATATATTTCTCATGTATTTGTAGAACTTTTAGACTTTATTAGTAATCATGAAGATTGGATTTCTGAGAATTTGATTCGCTTCCATGAATTCTGCGACTAATTTGTGTTCATATTGGAATTTGTCATGAAACTATACAAAAGCATTTTATTGAAGGCATTAAGCAATGCAGTTTGTTATTTACCTGCATTAAAACTAAAAGACGAAATAAAAAATCGGTCAGTATCAGCATGTCAAGGGAGTGATTAGTAATTAGTACACACAATTAAAGGGTAGGGATGATTACAACAAGTGGATTGTATAATGCATAATTTTGGAAAAATAAATTATCAATAAAGTCATTAGCAGGTATTCGAGTTCATGAAAAAGTACTAAATATAAAGTTTTTTCCACTCATCGTCAAATTCATAAAACATTATTTGCACAGTAGTTTTAATGTTTATCTCTGACGAAAGTTAGAGTTCACCTTTCCCCAAGAGAATCCATTATTATTATTATATTATTATTTCCCTTAATTCCTAGAAGAACATAAGGATTCAGCTGCGCATCTCCATTGCGTTAGGTGCTCCGCCAATGTTTTCACCTGCCTCCCCGTCTGCACACATGCTTTTATCTCCACTTCACATGACCTCCTCCAAGTCACCCTCGCACTGATGACCAGCTCGCCGCTTCCCTTTCGAGTTCCACTCGAGAGAGAGCCTGGAGAGTGATGTCAATCCCTTGATGGTTTGTTTTCTCAGAGTATGGCCAATAAACCTCTATTTCTTCCAGAATATTTGTTACACGATTGGTTCCTACTGAGTTGGTTGGTTCATTGCCAGAGATCCCTGTTGCTGACCTTCTCTGGTCATCTGATCTTGAGTAGTATTAAGCAAAGACAACTGTTGATGAAGGTCTGTAGTTTGTTCGAAGTGCTTTCCGTGACGCAGTGTGGCGCCAAGTCTCTAATTCGTATAGTGATTAGCACTGACTTCACATTGGAGTTGAAAATCCGAATCTTATTTTCCATTCTGAGTGCTGTTGACCCCCACGCAGGCTTTAGAGAAATGAAATCTTGTTTTGCCTTCCCTATCCTCGCTCTGAAATCCTCGTCAGTTCCGTCAAATATTCCATAGATCCTTCAAATCCTATGTTGAAAAATTTGAATTGAATAATTCTATCTTAAGGCTGAGCACTTTCCCTTCATTACTTTCCTGTCTCGAGTGGAACATGAGGTTTCAACCTTCGAAGTTTCAGTAGTGATGGTATTTCTTTTAGGGGATGCGTTAGCTAGCCTTCTACCCAACCTTGCCTCTTTTCTGGGCTTATAAATAGCTAGCAAACCGGAAGAGTTAAAGGAGTGCGCCAGCCAAAAGCAAACCTGTGTGGTCAGTTTATCTTACAATCTTGATCTGACAAACGAATAAAGCATGAGCTCTGCTTAAACTGTCTGTTGAAAGTGATAGAAATCAGAACGTCTGAATTACCTGCAGACACCAGCAGGAAAATGAGTCCAAAAGTGGTGCAGATAGATTTCTTTTAAGAAATCCAGTCAGAGTATCTAATCGATTTGTTAAGCCGCATGTTTTGAGTTGCGCTTAAAATCCCAAATACAGGATTTCTCTACAGTACGATACTGCATTAAACACAAAATAATATAATGTAATAAACAAAGCTCAAGTTGTGAGGTGTCTGTGGCTGAATATTGCCAAATGAGCAGTCACTATGAATCAATAAGAAGAAAAACATAAAAGCTACGTCGAAGGCGATCCACAGTCAGTTCAAACAGAGCGCAAATGCCAGACAAAGTATAACTGGATTAGATTTTTTTAAATGTTCAACAGAAAAAGGTATGTTAATAAAGCATATACGGCGGATACGATTTAACTACAAAAAAAACAATTAATACTTATCAAAAACAGTAATAATACATTAAGAGTTAAACTTCAAGAGCATTCAGAAGTCATAGTTAAGGAGTAACAAACTACTGACTACTGATAAGTAGTATCAAGTTGAACACAAAAAAAGAATAACATAAGGCGGATAGGTGAGGAATTAATAAATAGATGCAATACTAGATATTAGCTAAATTTTTCACATCTGTGTTCCTTCGCACAGATAGTGACCAGTATATTTTAAATTGTTGGTTCAGACCACTATCTAGTACAAGGGACTTTCAAGGTGAAGCTAAAAGCCTTTAGGATAGCTGGGCATCGGCCACAATGCACCTTCAACATTCAACTACTGAAAGATACAACCACAAAGGACACTTTCACTGCAACTGTCAGAGCAAAGCAGGAAGCACTACGTGACATCACTGAAGAATCAGGCGTGGAAGACCACTGGAACTTTCTGAAGGTGTTTCTCAAAGAAACATCTTCAACAATTTTAGGAAGAAAGAAGAGACAAGACAAGGAATGGATCTCAATGGACACTTGGAAGCTAAAGAGGACAGGAGAATGGTGAAAGAGAAAATGATTCAATGCAAGGACGGACAGGAGAAAGAGACGATAAGCTCAACTTACACAGCACTAGACAAAGGAGTGAAGAAGAGTGTTGGGAATGACAAAAGACGATTCTACGACAACCTCCCCACTGAAGCTGAGAAGGCAGCAGGCAAAAGAGACCTGAGGACATTATATCAGATAACCAAGTCTCTATCCAGGAACAGATCAACACAAGTGAAACCTATAAAAGACAGCCAAGGGAACCCAATTACCAAGGAAGAAAGACAGATTAAACAATGGGCGGGTCACTTCAAAGGACTCTTGAACCGATCACCACCTACAACCCGTCCAGAAATACCAACAACAGCGCGCACACAACTGCAAGTTGACACCAATCCTCCAACGAGAGCTGAAGTCTTGAATGCAATCAAGCTTCTGAAAGCTGGAAAAGCAGCTGGACCAGATGGAATACCCCCTGAAGCTTTGAAAGCGGACCCAGAGACGACAGCAGATATGCCGACTGCATTATTGCAAAAGGTCTGGAAGGAGGGAAAGGTACCTACTGACTGGAGGAAAGGTTACCTCGTGAAACTACCAAAGAAGGGCGACTCACGCCTCATTCTGCAAGAACTGGCGAGGAATCATGCTCCTGTCGACGCCAGATAAAATTCTGAGTCGCATCATCCTGGAGGGAATAAAGGAGATCGTGTGAAGAGGAGTTGAAACAGTTTGGACTAACATGGATGCAGGTGAATAGTACAGCAGAAGACAGAGGCAAGTGGGGACGTGCAGTTGAAGCGCTATGTTCCACTAGGAACCCAAGGGAACAACGATAATAATAATAGGGGCTAACGAACACCCATTTCATCGTCAAGTGACTTCAGAGTCAACAATCCCTTTTGAATTGAGTCACATACGGCCTGTAATGTGCTTTAGGTGAACTAGCGATCGTAACTAAGTTACTGAAACTTTGGGTGATTCGCACCATTTCAGCATTTAATTTCACCGAAGCAAATGAAAACGAAGACTGTGACCCATTCATTACTAGCGTAACCAATTACTCAAAAGAATCATGTGTGACATCGAAAAGTTAGCCTCAGATAATCAGAGAAACATCATTTAGAGATGTATGCGGACAACTAAGCTGATAATTTGTACAGTAAGAAACTTGAGAACTAAAAAGTCTGATTACTAGATAATGAACTAAATAATTAATATCCGTAAAAAGTTTCAGCATTGGGGATTAAATTAAATAAAGTATAATTAAATTTCAATGATAAGTCTGGTTATTGGTAATATTTGACAACGACATATTTCACATTCGAAGGGAAAATATACCAACATAATGAGGGAGCAGCTACGGGATCGCCTATCTCACCAATAATAGCTGACATATTCATGGATTATTGGGAAGAGAACGCCCTTAAACCATTCAGATCATCACCAAAGTGTTGGTGGAGATATGTAGACGACACACTAGTGATAGTGAAAAAAACGATACTGAGAAACGTTTCTCACGCATAAACAGTCACGTCGACTCAATAAAATTCACTATGGAATTAGATAATGAAATTGGGGAACTGTCTATGTTAGACTGCAAACTACAAAGAATGACGGAGGGTAGCATAAAAATGACGATACATAGAAAAACCACACACTCTGGAAGACTCCTTGATTATCACTCAGCTGATATATATATATATATATATATATATATATATATATATATATATATATATATATGAGTACAAATCATAAATGTGTGAATAAAACAATTCCAACAGCGGTGTGAACACGGGCAGTAATTTTGCTTGAAATATTACCAATAACAAAACTTATCATTGTGTGCAAACTAATGAAATATAATTATACTTTATGAAATAAATAATAGTATAATTAAAGATAAATTATAAAAGCCGCAGAAATGTAAATTTTAAAACATCGTCTGCATACACGAAATTTTCAGAAAGCATGTTGAGACTGCTTGTGAATATTTGAGAACAACTAATTTCTCAAGTGTAAACCAGTTACCCTAGAAAAGTAAACCTTTTTGAAAAATCCATTCATCAAAGTGTGCATCAGTCTCTTTGGAACTGTATGTACAATGTGTCAGTTAAGTCCCAATAAAGAAGCAGCATTCTGAGAGACATTTCTAAAAGGTTTACCGGCTGAAATGAGATCACTTCATATAAGTTCAGAAAATAACGTGTTACCAGTCACTTATGATAGTTTTCACATGTCAAATGGAGACATGAAAGATATCATAACGACATGTGTTGTTGACAAAGGTGCCTACACCAAAGTTATAATGAAGGAGGTCAGTAATCGCCAACATTCTAACAAGTTTACATCAGAATCTGAGATCAAACCTGAGTTTTATTCTTCTTGGATGCTTTCTTGAAAAATAAATGCGGTTGTTCTCCTCATAGTGATCATTGGGTGACCGATTTACGAATAGGCACAGTTAGATTCCTTTGAGAAGAAAGATAAACCTGATCTATTTCTTATCTTTAAGATTAAGAAGAATTTGTGCCATTGATGGATCAGAGTAACTCAGACAGGTTGTCATTTAAGTTGAACACCTCGAAAGATTTTTTCCCTCTCTCACTTTCTTCACACTTGTCAGGATGATACTCAACCATCTTGTTCCCTATCTAATAATTATTTCTACTCCCACTGTTCAGTAATTATGACACAGTTTCTTTCTGTCTTAAGTAACCATTTCAGAGTAGCCATAGAAGTTATGTCACAGGCCTCTATATCTCAGTAATGGTCCCGTATACACTTTAGGAAGTACAGACATATTACATGACTGCAGTCAGAAATGTTACCACTGAGCTATCCGGACTCGCGATTGATCTCTTTTAGGACGAACTAGTTTCCTGTGTCCAGTCCTTTGTTTACTGCAAACTGAATTCTATTAGTCTGGTTTTTACAATGCGGCCACCATGCCACTAGGTAGCTCGCCATCATGGTACATTCAGGATTGTTGTTTTTAGATGGTTGGGGGCAATCAGCAGGAAGCCTTAGACCTTGGGTTTTGTGATTGTTGGCACCAGTCAACCACCTAGAACGGTGGTCACATTGCAAACTTAACTGATAGAATTCAGTCTGTATTAAACAAAAGAACTAGACACATGAAACTAGTTAGTGTCCAGCCAAAAATACAAACATATGAAGACGACTTCATAGATAAAGAAAATTTTCTTTGAGGTTCGTATGTGATTTAATACTTAAAATTCAATTTCATGAATCCAAGAATAAAATAAAAACTTTAGTTGATGAATCTACATGGTATTCAGTAAATGAAAAATCTCCATATTGAAATCAAAACATGTTTTTGAGCAAAAAATTGTTTTCGATAACTTCTTCTTCAGGCTCTACAGTTATAAATCCATGATTAATAGAGTACAACATATAGCCAATAAAGGCAAATTAAAATAATATCAGAAACTGTATTGGGGTGCAAGTGTAAGTTGAGGTGACAGTCAATTAGTCAGCATAGTCAATTAAATGTGTATAGGGTGTATAGTCAGATAAAATGTGATGAAGTGTGAATGATCGATTGGGTGATATAGTGCTGTTTAATAGTTAATAGAATACAAGTGTCCTTGGGTTGAGAGAAATGCGATAACCACACAATACATACAAACACACATTAACAAAGGGGACACGGAATGTGAAGGTTGACCGATAATGTCTAATGATAAAATAAAGAGGCTAAACTGTAAATTGTAATAAAATGCTACAGAATTAGTAGGCTTAGTATAAAATCATAAAGGTTGACAAAAAGTAAGGGTAACAATGAGGTGAAATAAACTGGGTGGAGAAATGGATAATAAAGACATGATATCACAAAATAATAATAATAATAGTACGAAAAATTATGATCCAGGTGACCTTATAGTGGGCCAGGGTAGACAAAGAGAGTGAAAAAGTTTTTTCTGTACACAGAGGTCTGGTCTCTATTAATCTCTAAAGCCTCAGCTATGACTAAGGGGCGTAATCGTGTGCCTTTGGGGAGATTGTTCGGTACTCGAAACACAACTGTAAATGACTCATCTACTTTGATGCTGTGTTCGCTATCCACTAGATGAGACAGAATGGCACTATTTAGTGATTTGGTTGCTCTTTTCCCAAGCCAAACAGGAATATATTCACGGGTGCGTAAAGATAAATTCCTTTGGGTACGACCTATATAACTAGCTCCACAGGAGCAGTTGAATTTATATACACACATTGATGTCACTATTTTGGGCAATCTATCTCTGATGCACAGTGTCAATATCGGTTTAGTTGAGAAACTGACATGCAGTTTTGCGGCATTAAAAATTCTTTCAATTGATCTCGTTAATCTATGGTTTAATATATCGCTGGTTACATCACCTTTGAATTGTACATTTAAGCAAAGCTTTTTCTTACTCACTGTGTCTCGCTTGGTTTTATGCGTAGTTTCATAGATATACTTCTTTACAAAGTTGGTAGGATAGTCGTTTCATCTATGCGATCAGCGATACGGAAACACAGCAATAATCTGTGACTTATTCTGCATAAATAAATCTATTTTTCACGACTTAACTGAGGTAAAGTCAAAAAACACCGTCGTTCAGAGGAATATATTTTTATTTTAAACTTATGTTTCATCACTGTAAACCGGTTTCAAACTAGTTCCTATTTTTTTCATTTTCTTTTTTCAGTTTGACAGTGTGATTTTACAGGATTCCGATGATATTAACATTTACCTATTTACAGATGATCCAACTGGTCTACGTTATGCTGAAGCCTATTTACTTCGTATCTTTCATATACCTGGATTGAAAGTTTCTGATACAAAAGCTTTATATAAATTGAAAAAATATCCTCCGAATGTTTTTATAGATGCACATTCTGAAAAAGTTGCTTTCATTGAAAACTTACCTTTACCGTTTACTGAAATGGCTGAAACTGAAAGTGCAAGATTACTTGCTGATTCACAGCACTTACCAAGTCAATATCGAGATTTTCGTCTATCTTGTGAATCATTAAATTCAGCAGAACAATCGCAGAGAACACTACAACAGGGGACATACAAAGAATTACCAAGGGCTGCACGTAGAGCTGGTTGTCATATAACTATGAGTATACCGCTTAATTCAGTTCCACAAAGCTCTTTAGAAGCACTTAAGATCACCTATTACGTCAGAGTAAGTTAACTAATACTTGTATTATGACTAAATTTCATATAGATGTCGTTATTGTAATAATTTACGTACTCTTAAAGAAATCCTACCCTTATCGACAAAACTGGGCTTTGTGTGTTTGTCGTTGGACTTAAATATTTCAAATATCACATGACTGAACTAACAAAATTAGTAGATATCAAAATTTCATACATTTATTCCCCTTAATGAATTTGAACAAAGCAAGAACTACAGTTTTAGCAGAATAAAATGGTACCATCTTTTATTTCGTTGCCTTCTCGTCAGCTGCTTACATGGCAAAGACATTATTAAATATGTCTACAACAACAATTTTTACATACTTGCACAGAGTTCATATCAGTCGATCAATATACGCACACACTAAAAATATATACATATATAAATATGCAATATTAAACACTATTCCGAACAGTAATAATCATACACAATGGAAACTTTTAACATTTCGTATTCGGAAGAAAGAGAGGTGAAATTATCCAGTTACCAGGGCAAAGAAAGACTGATAACCGTTTCTTTCTGGACGCATAAATCAGGTTTCAGGCGCTTGATGGAAATGGCTTCAGCAAACTTAAGGAGAATTGGGCTTTTTTGCCTATTGATAATTTTGAATGACTTTTCGACGTCCACCTCATGACCCGTGTCGAGGAGATGCCTGGCGATGGCACTGTTTAAAGTATTTGTTCCCTTTAGACGTAAGCTTTTAGGCACCCGTTCAGAAAATCGCAGATATAACTTTCTTTCTGTCCTTCCAATGTAACTGCTCCCACAAATACATTTAAATTCGTATATACTGTTGGAGTTAACATGAGAAGGATATCTATCGATTTTTGATTGTACCAAAGAGCAAGTTGTTCGATAGACGTAAACGAGCTTAGCTGCAGGATAGGCTATGGCTAGTGAGGTGCTCAGCCTTCTGTTGACCACCGCTGCAATGTTTTCACCTTTATAATCAAGCTGAACGTAGATTGGCTTTTTTCACACTGTGATTTGTTTTACATTAAAAATATCAATCAGTTGTCCATACTTTTTTTCGTCCTGCATCGACAACATTAAGTAAACACACTTAAAACACCGTTTTTATCGGAAAAATAGTAGCTTCTTCATCATGCAGCAGTGCTTTCCACAGTATATGACACACAAATAAAAGAATGTTTATCATCACAAAAATTTATCTATTTTAATTTCATGTAATCGGAAATTATGTATCAGTCAAGAAAAAAATAATAAAGAAACGCAAACATTTCGCATGTTAGCTAGGTAGCATATATGCATCATTTCGAAATGGCCAGAAGGTGATGTGATTGGTTTCCAACTACTTATACAAATTAATCAGTAATATGTAGTTTCTCATGCTATTTCACTTGCTTGCTTTCTAGATTATCATTTATAGTATCATGCAGTTAACATATTAGGATTCGATTACTGTTGCCTCTATAGAAAACCATTGGGAACTCTCACCTCAAGTTTGGCTAAGAAAAAGATGCCAATTTGTGATATAACCTGAAATCAGCCAAATCATTGCAAATCAATACTTGTAAACTAGTCTAATGCTTGCTGATGACTGACTGTATGATGGAGTTCCTAGGGTTTTAGTAAGAAGTTGTAGCCAGAGATGTCAACCATATCGGGTATGGAAGGCAAATTCACACCAATGATATTGGCTAGAGGTTGCTCCATTTATCAGAAAAATTAATGGAATTTAAAATTCTTAGGCCACTGCATCTAGTCCTAGTAGCTGAATGGGCAGCCGAATCCCTTCACATTCCGAAGATTTCTGGTTAGACCTTTACTAGAGTTTTAAGTATGTACTGCACAAAAAGTCCCAGACTAGGACCAAATTTTAATTCAGTATGCCTTGGCTTTCAGTGGTCATCTAGGTATATAACTTTAAGTCAGGGAAGTCCCTGCAAACCTATACTTAACAAATAAATGTAATAACTTGAGCTTACTTTACATTTAGCACTGTTTTAATACAACTGAGTAAAAAAATTATATTACAATAATTTGTATTATCTAAATAAGACATTTATTTGTTGGCTTTTATCCTCTATAGTTGGTTTGTAAGGATTAGTTTTGTTTTTACGCGTTGATCACGGATTGATGTCAGCTGGAGAACCATTAAAAACCAGGGATTACTGGACAGCTAGCTGTTTCATCCTAGTTTTGGGAATCACCGGAAGTACACACCCATTGATGTTCGAACCAAGGACTTCCGGTTACGAGGCAAACAAAACTAATCCTTAAAAAACCACCTATAGAAAATTAATATGATACTCACTTGTGACTTCTTACAGGATGGAATTTCCTGGAGTTCTAGTCAGTAGTCATGACCAGTGAGGAAGTCCATCCAGTCAAGTGTGAGGATGGATGTGTCACCCGACGACATTGATTGGGGTCGTGCTAAATCATTAATTGGTAGAAGTTAGAATTCGTAGGCTAGCCAATGAACCGGGTCCCAGTGATTGAATAGTATACAAGCTCACCTTGTAACCAGAAGGTCTTTGGTTCGAACCTCAGTGGGTGCGTACTCCCAATGATTCCCAAACTAGGCTTTTGTTGCATTTTTGAATATCAAAAGCAGGTACCCATAATGTTCGTTTTGGTAATATTTCGAGCAAAATGGCTGCCAGTGATCACACCGAATGCTGGAATTAATTTTTCAAGTCACATATTTATGATTTTTAATATAATGTATAGATAGATTCTGTTATTAGTTTTAGCATACAAAATTAATACTTCCGAGTCCATTCGAAGAAACCTCAATAATATCCGGAGTCGTACCACGTTTTAAACCAACGAATCTGATTAGAAGTAAAATAAGTCAACTAAAAGTCTCGATAAAAATAATGGATAAAAGTAATGTGATTTACAAAGTATCCTGTGCAGAATATTTGACTACATATACGGAGAAAACATCTAGATTACTCAAACTAATATTGGATTAACATATACGTTTAACTAAAGGTCATTCCATAGGAACACAAGAGTAGAGAGATTTTACATTTTTTTTAAGTCTCCTATGGTTGCACATACAAGGGATAAAAACCACATGATTGATTAGGACAACATTTATATTCTGAAATCGGATATGAACAAATGGAAAGAAAGACCAATAACAGAATCGATATTCATTAGGATTCCTCCACATACATGTAACAAGCGTGTAATTCTGGATACACAGAAATGAACGAACAAAAAACGAACTATATGTTAAATAACAAATCATAAATGTGTGAATTGAAAACAAAACAATTCCGACAGCTGATGTGGTCACGGACAGTAATTTTGCTCGAAATATTATCAAAACGAAAATCTGATTAATGTGTACCAACTACTGAAATATAATTATAAGTAATTTCGTTTATACGAGTTGATCACGGATTGATAACAGTAAGGGAACCATTGAAATCCAGGGAGTACTGGACAGCGAGCTGTTTCATCCTAGTTTCGGGAATTATAGGCAGCACGCACCCACTGAGATTCGAACCAAGGACCTTCCGGTTAGAAGACAAGCTGGTATGCCATTCAGCCACTGGGACCTGATTCAATGGTCAGCCAATCCGTGATTTAGCGCGATCACTAATCAGTGTCATCGGTGGGAAATCTATCCTCACACTTGACATTTGAATGGACCTCACTGGTTATGACTTCTCACTAGAACTTCAGGAAACTCCATCCTGTAGTAAGTCACCAGAAAGCATCAGATAAATTTTGTATAGTCGTTTGATTAATCCGACTAATCCTTACAAACCAACTATGTAAGTAATTTCCTTTGTAGGGTGATTACAGTCATGAATTTCCTAGCATCATCAAAATACTGCTACATTTATCTATACAGACTAGGATAGTGGATAGTGTAATGTCTGTTTATTTTCATAGTGATAAATGAACGAAAGAAATAACACTTTGTCTTTGTAAAATGGAACAAATGTATAAAACTAAATTCTTTCTATCCTAAGCAAGACACCCAATCATTGCTTCAACAGTCTCTTCTATTTTCATAAGCTCAGCATTTGCTTGAAAATACAAGGAATTAAAGCAGCTCCGTTGGTGGGAACAACACTATGTAACCAATTAAGTAAGGATGTTCAATAAATCATTTATTCTTACCTACTTTGAGGTATTTATTGTTGAAAGGTGTAGCTTACTGCTTACATTGAAAATATATGTAAATAACGTCATTTTACACATTTTTTTTATTTACACTGCTAGCTTAGCTTAGCTTAGATCAATGCGCTACTAAATCTTCTCTTCACCACAAAGTACTAAGTTTACTCCATTTTGATACTGGTTTAATGATTCAACTATTTCTTCAAATGATATTCCATACCAAGGTATATTTGTGAATATTTTTAGAAGTGGATAAAACTTTAATATAAATGGGGGTTGCCGACTGTTTTAGATCAAACAATACTTTATCAACTTTTAATTACTATATACTTGTAAATTCTTTGTATGAAGTAAACATTCTGGTGATATTTAATTTTGAATAAGGCAAGAACAACAGTGTTGGTTTGTGCAGAATAATATTCTACCATCATTGCTTATTTCGTTGGCTTCTCATCAGCTGCTTACAGCCTAAATAAATTATGAGGTTTTATCATACTTGTAAATTTTACATGTTATCAGTTGACGGAAAATTCTACAAAATTAGTAAACGGGGCTCAGAAAATTGCGCTTATATAGTTTTTACACAGGCAGTTCATGTTTAAACAAAATAAATGTATGCATATAATGGTAAAGGAGTTACTTAATAAAGATGACATGTGCGTTAGATGCATAGAGTCTAATAAGTTAGGTAACAATGTACTGAGTTGAACTCAAATCATAGAAACGAGAGACAAGGAAAATTACAGATTACAAAAGGAGGGTGAGATTAAAGACAAAGATCACGTAATCAGATGAGAGAAAAAATAAAGACATCCAGTTACCAAGGCAAGGAAAGACTAATAACTACTTCTTTCTGAACACATGTATCTGGTTTCAAGCGTTTGATAGAAATTGCCTCGTCAAACTTGAGGAGAATGGAACTCCTTTTTTATTGATAATTTTAAAGGATTTCTCGATTTCCATCTTATGACCCGAGTCTAAGAGATGTCTGGTAATAGCGCTATTATAAGAGTTTATTCCCTTGAGACGTAGGCTGTTTGGGCACATGTTCAGAAAATCGGAGGTATGCCCTTTTTTCTGTCCTCCCAATGTAAATGCTCCCGCAGATACACGTAAATTTGTATATACAGTTAGAGTTAACACGAGAAGGGCATCTATTGGCTTTTGACTGCACCATAGGGCATGTTGTTTGGTGGACAGGAACCAACTTAGCTTCAGGATAAGTTCTGGCTAGTGAAGTTCTCAGTCTTCTGTTGACCATTTCTGCAATGTCTTCACCTTTAAAATCTAGTTGAATGAAGACAGGCTTTTTTCAACCGTGATTTGTTTGGTATTTGAGCCTTGACATCTTCCATATTTGTTAATAAATATTTGAGGATAACCGCTGTTTTTCAGCACCATTTTGAGAATCGTAAATTCTTCCTCTAGTTTCTCTGCAGAGCATACTTTCCTCGCTCTATAGTACAGAGTCTTGACTAGTGCTCGTTTATAGCTATTTGGAAAAAAACTATTAAAGTGTAAGTATTGTCCATTCCATGTGGGCTTTTGGTAGACTGACCTCTAGAGACTACCATCTTCTAGGCGTTGCATGGCGACGTCAAAGAAATGGAACTTACCATCATTTTCATGTTCCATAGTAAATACAATATTTGTATGTGCGTTGTTGAATAGTCTGAGTAGGTAGGAATATGTTAAAATTGTTCTGTACCTCATAATTTATTTAGGCTGTAAGCAGCAGCTGATGAAAAGCCAACGAAATAAGCAATGACGGTAACATATTATTCTGCACAAACTACACTGTTATTCTTGCTTTATTCAAATTCATCAAGGGGGATAATTGATGTATAAGTGAATTATCAAGAATTAAACCATAATTATTATTTTATTACAATTTTTAGGTTCTTATTCATGGAAAACGTAAAGTAATGGCTTACAGCCTGCCAATATCTGTAGTTGAACAACGTGCAAAAGACTACAAAATGCGTTATCTAGGCGACGGGAATCATTTATTCGACCCGGAATACTTGAAATTAAAACGTGATAGTCGATGTTCCGTTTCCTAGACTCTATATGACCAATGAAGTATTCATCGAAAAACAAATCAAATAAAATAAAAAGGCCAAATGCTGAATAACTATTATGATGTAATACTTAAGATATAAACCTAATAGTAAATTTTCGTAGCCACATTTCGATACTGGGTTTGACAGTGTTTTATATTCTATCTACATTTATGAATTTTCGGTGTATGTGGGTGGGTGTGCGTATGTTAAGCACACTTTGAAGGAGTCGTCTCCTTGTCTCTCCATCATTCTTTCCTTCATCCATAGTGTTGGTAATTATTATTAATACATATCTCTCTCTCTATGAATGATCTGATTGAAAGAGAGCTTTCATCAAACTGTTTAATCATTTATATTTATTTATATATTTTTCTTCTCTACTTCTGCTAAATATCATTGAATTCTTGAGCATATTTGTTTCTTAATTGCCTGAAAATGCTGAGTTCGTATTAGTTTTATTGGAATAAATTTAATTCATTAAACACATGAGCAAATAAATTTCTGTTTTCATACAGTAGTTGCCTGTATCCTCTCTATCAGTTATATTTATCTAACTAACTAACCAACTAACATGTTCTGCCATTTTTGTTTTATTTTGGTTATAAACCGAATTAAATCTACGTAACTGAAATTAGCTTGTCAATAAATCTGTTCCGCTTTATTATTTTTAGCTAGTAATCTCATATTGAACAGATATTGAACAATGAACTAATGAAGTTAATAATTTTTGTGATATTGATAACAACTTTCTTTCTACATCTTGTTCATTAAGACACATGTTTATTATTTAAACTGGTATTCATTGTTTAAAATAATACTGTCTTCATAATTAAGTAGAAAAAACTATACATATTTTTCATTTTTATGTTCAACATCACGAAAAGAAAGTTGATAAAAGTTTAACGGTTCTCTATATATGTCCAAACTAAGTTCAATTTCAACAGTTTGCAAAAACATTTGACCATTGGGCATAAGATATTCTTTATAATAAAGGGTCATTTTTGGATTTCCTAATGAATGAAAAACAAAAAGATATTGTCTCTTCTAACCTTTTGCTACTTAGCGTTAATAGTTTTCGTCAAAAACATCAGACACACACACTACAAAGCAACCTTATCCATATAAAAGATCAAATCCCTAAGGTAACTCTGTCTAATTATGGCAACAAAATAAAATGCTCTGAGTGTGATGCAATATATATCGGAAAAACCTCAATAGACAGAAATCAGAAAAAATTAACATCGTAGGACATCCGTTCAACCACCGAGAAATCCAGTTGAACTATTATTATATAATTATATCCTTTCATTCCTAGAGGAACATAAGGCTTCAGCCGCGCGTCTCTATTGCGTTCGTTTTTCTGCCAACTTTTTCACCCCACTCCAAGTCTGCCCACACGCTTTTATCTCCTCTTCACATGACCTCCTCCAAGTCACCCTCACACTGACGACCAACTCGCCGCTTCCCTTTCAATCCGGTTCCACTCGAGCAATAACTTGTCTAGTGATGACACTTGATGGTTTCCTCAGCGTATGACCAATCTATCTCCATTTCTTCCCGCCTATTTGTTGCACAATCGGTTCCTACTGTGTTGGATCGCTCATTGCCAGAGATCCCTGTTGCTGATCTTTTCTGGCTGGCCATCTGATCTTGAGTATTGAGCGAAGGCAACTGTTGATGAAAGTCTGAAGTTTGTTTGAGATGCTCTTTATGACGCGCAGTACAAGTCTCTGATCCGTATAGTAACACTGACTGACTTCACATTTGAGTTGAAAATCTGGATGTTATTTTTGATGATGAGTGCTGTTGACCTCCACACAGACTTAAGAGTAGTGAATGCTTGTCTTGCTTTTCCGATTCTTGCTTTGATATCCTCGTCATTTCCGCCTGCTTCCCAGATAGGTAGGTAAGAAATGGAGATTGTTTCTTCCAGGTTCCTTCCATTTATGCTGATTGCTGTCTGTTTTTGTGATTACTGCTGGTAGTGGCCAGGAATCTTCATCACCTGTGTTTTATCTATGTTCATCTGAAGACCTATCTTTGATGCTTCTTCTGCCAGCTTGTTGCTTTTCACTTGCATATCTTCCAATTTGTGGGAAATCAGACATATAAAAGTTGAACTAGGAAAGATTAAAAAATCATTAGCCACAGGTCTTCACTCTATAGAATCACGTCACAAAATTGATTCTGACAATATTGAAATAATCCAGAAAAATTTGAGACATCACAAACAACGTCTAATATCAGAAGTACTTCATATCAAATCGAATCCAAATTGTCTGAATAGGAATTAGAAACTAAACAAGAATTTGACCTAGTTAAAACACCCCTAACCCCCCCCACACACACACACGAAGTGATAAAATCAACACAAATGTGATTAGCGGTTTCATTACGTAAACATGGGCTGCTTATATAGTTTTATACAATTATCAAATCCACCAATCTACACCTGGTTTTGCTATCTTTACCAGTTGGCCAACTTGACAACTTTAGCATTACCCAATGCTGCTGAAATATGATTAAGTTGTTGTACATAACAAGGCTTTGATAAAGCTATTAGCATTAAATGGCGAAACGTCAATAAAAGCAGCAATATCGTTTCGTTTCTCATTCATTCATTGGGAAATACAAAAAATTCTTATTATAAGTGATGTCGTGTAAACTTAAAAATACTATTGGTGAGTGATTATCAAATAATAATGAATTTAGTGAAGTAAAATGAAAAGGATTTTGTAAATATGATAACAAGTTAGAAAAGCGCTAATTAAACTTAAGGTAGCAGAAATCGTAAGAAAGGTCATGAAATCGTAAAACGTCAGAAATGAAAGTTTGTCAGTGAAACAAAAGAAAAGAAAAATTGTGATAGGAATTTAAAGTGACGGTGTTTATGAAGGATTTGTTGGCCTTATTTAGGGCAAGGTAAACTTAGTGGTTGAACATAATTCTTCTGTATACAAACAGTCGGTCTTCAAGTATTTATTGCAACCGCTCCAGCTACTGACAGCAGACATAGTCGAGCTCCTATTTATAGATTACCAAGAACTCAATAAAAATCTGAGAATGCCTGGTAATTGCTTAACGAGTGTCCAGTATCTGCCAAGTGAGCTAAGACTGCACTATTTACGTATCTGGTTACCCCTTTACTCAACCATACAAGTACATGTTCATGCGCGCGCATGGATGAGGCCCTCTGAGTACGATCAATGTAACTAGCTCCACATAAGCAGTTAAATTCATAGATACACAATGATGAGACCATCTTTGGTAATTTATCCTTGACTCGTTGTGCGAGTACAGGTTTAGTTGAGACGCTGAGTACCAGCTTAGCTACAGGAAATGTTCTCTCTACTACTCTATTAAGTTTAATATGCTTCTGCAGTCATTGTCATGTCATGACTCCTCTAAAATATACACTGTCACCTCAGATCACAGCGTTATTAACGCTGAAAGATCTCAAGGTTTTTAAATACAAACTACATAAAGAATAGATAGAGTTTAGGTTCATTACGAAGGAGCGTTTGGGGTAAGATGAAGTTGAAGATATACAGAAATCGAGATGCTGTGTGAAGTGTAGAGATTTAGATGCCTCTTGATATTATTGATATAGTCATCTAAGATTGTGGTGAAGTACCGTCCACCTTTCGTTAAACGCAAATCACCGTCTGCCGAAAGAACCACGGGTACTAAGTTGAAAATGTTTAGTGAACTGGATCACTGTCTCTTCATTCTTACTTAACTGTAATTCAAATAACATTGTCAGTAACTCATTCAGAGGGACACACCTAGTTCGTACGTCTGCATTGTTCAATATATCCGGGATAATACCATCGCAGCCTAACAGGTATTTAAACTTTACATAATTTATAGGATTTAAGGCAGATACATTGTTTCCATATGTGAAAAGAACGCTCAAAACTCTATTCAAGATCGTTAATAGAATGTGTCTCAAGGTGGTATTCAGAGTAACGAATTCACGCAGTGATAAACTCTCAACCAAGCAAAATAATCTAATCTACATTATAGCCTACTGTGAATATGAGGTCGAGAGCATACATTATTCCTACAGACCAGGATTGGTAAGGTTATATTATTATTACTTTTCATTCTTTGCGTTCTGAGTGGAACATACTGCTTCAGCGTTATACATCTACTCCACTAGATTCTGTGCCATTACTTTGAGCTTGCTACAGGACTACGCGCAAGCTTTCATTTCCTCCTCACATGATTTCACTATGCAGCACTTGAACCCATACCTAACACATCGATTCTCATCTACTTTCCACTAAATGATCTGCCTGGCGTGTGATATCAATCAAATGTATCTTTAGCGCATATCCAGTTCATCTTAATTTCATTCTCCGTATTCGTTTGGTTACCTACCGGAGTTCTTTGTTGCTTATTCTCTCGAGAAAATCAGCCGGCCATCTCCTATCAGTACTGAGTTACAGAAAGCATATTTTGATGAAGGTGTGCAGCCTGTTGGAAATGCTTACGGAAACATTAGAAGCGCTGACTTGAAAATGATCCTGAAAATTTGGAACACTTTCGCTAGGCTAAGTGATGAATACTGTAGATATCCACAATGATTTCCGATTAAGGTTAGCTTTGATATCTTCATCTGAAATGATGCTGCTCAGTTCAAGTAAGTGAAAGAGACTACTTCCTTTAAATTACTCTTGCTGATGCTGACTGGTGTTTGGTGTTAGTCTCATAAGTGTAGGACGACAAACCATTAAAAATGACTAACTTGGGAAAAATCTTAGCTGTCACAATACGTCGACTAAGACACAATCACACAATAGGTTAAGGCTGAACTGTTGTTATAAAAGGTAGAAGGAAAGGTTGGTCACTGAGTCTATGTTCATCAACTTTGAGCAAAACAAGTGCTACAGGGATGACACAACATCGATACTGGAAATATAGTAAATATTATTACTGTCATTTGACAACACTGGAAAGGATCCTGGACCTATCGTTAACTCCCGAAGACCAATCGG